CATGTGAGCTTGGCACTTTAACCCCTAAGACGTATTGCCACGAGTGCTCTTGAGTCATTAGGCCAGATGTGAATTTCACATTCTTTGATGGGATTGTCGATGAAGTAAACGTCTTTTTCCCATAACAATCGACTACCTTGGTTATTTTTCGAATATAAGTAGTGTTTCGAGACTACCAGTAAATCATTTATATGGAAGTCTCGAAACTTTACTTCAATACAAAAAATAAGTAAGGTAGGCGATTATTATAGCACAAATACGTTTACTTCATCGACAATCCCACCAAAAATGTGATATGGGAAAAGGCCTGGCCCTTCTTGAAATTCACATCTGCCTTAATGACTCAAGAGCACTCGTGGTAATGTGTCTGAGGGGTTAACGTGCCAAGCTCACATGCTGCACTGTCACCGTTCGACTCCCGCTGGGGGTGTTGATAAGACCTATGCGAGGTCAAAACTGCAGTCCAGCCTAGACTAGGACAACTTTTGGGAAAGCAAGGCCAGATGAAATTCATTGGAAACGTCAGCTTTACTCATATCACTGTGAGAAAACTTTACTACCAATTCTTCATCACCTTAAACGAAATAGGGTGAATACATCTCAAATTACTTTAATTACCGAATATGGAGTGCGGACCTGTATGATTTTTTAAAAATATCAGATAAATAAGCTACATATTCTCATTTTCCGTTCATAATTAGGTTTTCTCATATAACTATTATTCTGTCTTGAACTTTAATCCAAGGTTGTATAAAAGCATAGAAAAAGAATAGTTTTTTGCTTAAGACAAGTTATTGGTATTTTCATTCAATGTGACACTTTTGATGTTAATTTCCACACTTGTTCTGAAGGAACCAGAGGGAGGTGTGATGACCCGAGAAACCGCAATACGCCTTATACAACGGCATGAACGAGCCCGACAAGGTCGTCTACGCGCTAAGTTCATGATGGAAATCCGTCAACAAGAGGAGGCAGATGAGGCTAGAAAACTGAATTCAAAGCCTTTGGAGCCGATAGAGGCAGCTATTCGTCTCCAGAAGGTTTTATTTATAGCATTTTTTGTTAATTCCTTCTAAGTTCAAGGGGTTGGTGGGTCCCTAGACTATGTTTTATTCTTTAATAATAGGATTATGACCCATCAATATCATATGTTTTATGCTTTAAATTTATCATACTGTAATCTCGAGGTATACGCACACATGAAAATGTTGTGAACTCGGTGTTTTCAAGCAATACATCTGGAGAAGTGGTTTTTTTTATTGAAATTTATATATATAATAAATCCCATTTTATCTGTTCTGTAAAGAAAAAATATATTTACTAAAATTTCTATAAGCTCGAAATTTTTATCTAATTTTTGTTCTCTATTTAAATAATACTCGAGACTATCAGTAATACTTCAATAAAAACTTGGTAAACTTTAGTCGCTTACGGTGATTTAGGGACTGAGTTTGAGTTCTCCCAAGATTAGGTAAGGAGGCCTCACGATGCCATTGAATTTCACT